ACCCGGACCGACGGAGCGTCCGAATCATCACCGGGTCCGAAAGAAGGAGGCGGTACACTTGCCGCAGGCTATCATATAGGCCACCGTTTCGTCCTGAGAGGCGGCGCTCATCTCTTTTGAGTCCAAATCACTCCTGCGCTTACTGAGCAAACCCATCCTCTGACGCTCGAGCAGCTCATCTTTGCGTCGATGGGAAGCCGAATGAGTTTTTGCGGCGCTCGTACTGTAGTCGGGGTACGATATAGTTGCCTTGCATCGATTACAACGGAGGTGGTTTTTACATTTGAGGAGTTTGAACGCATCCCACACAGGGCCGACTGCGATAGGAATCGTACCTAATCAGTTTCGTGTTGCGCGGTGAGCGTGCTTCAAGTTCGCGTGGAACAGATTTTAGTGAACGATTTCTTCCGGGGACAAACCGCCGATACAAGTGAGGCCCGAACCGAGGCCCGCGGGCCTAACTTAGCGGCGCCCGGAACGCATACCGAGAATTCCCCCCTACTTGATGCTTCCATTCCCGGATCCTTTATTTCTTTCAAATAAAGAGCTTCCCGTCAATGAAAAACTTCGGAAAACGGTTGTTTCGGACTCGAATCATGGATATGGCGAAATTTACAGAAATTCCCCCTTGGAACGGAGCCCGGAGCTGACCCCCCCCCTCCTTTCTTATCCAGCTCCGGAATGCTCCACCAGCAAGCAGCATCGTCGACGGTATCCCGGTCAAGACTCGATTGATTGATTGCCCCAGTGTTTGCCTCGATTCAAAGACCGATCCATCCGCTCGACATCGGGTGCGTACTTGCGTACCCTCTGACGCGTCTGCTCTGACCCCTGAATCCTCATGCATTGTAGTAGATCGGAATCGGAGCCTCTATCCCCTATACCAACTCCGGCTTTTAGGTCGAGCGGAGCAGTTTATATTCGGAAAAAAAATGGTACGAACCTCTTTTGGTGGGTCCGGGTGTAGCTCGCTCTCGGAACATTTCCCGTTTCTGAGGCACTGAAGCGGTTTTTTGAGGCTAGTGTATCTCACCCTGTCCTCAACATCATCTCCGGCTGCGGGGAAACATTGATTGATGCTGCGATTCGCGATGCCATAATCCATAATGACTGATGACATAGAAATTTTTTGTGAATTCTCAGATAAGGGTGAGCTTGGATTAGAGTCTTGGTCAGGTCAGCGGCTCACAGTTGGATGCGCCCATGTCTCCCATTTCCGAGGACTCCATCACGATCTTTTTCTTGGAGATTTTCATCTTGAGCCGTCGGCCAGGATTTTCAGCACTGGACCTGGACACTCCGTGCATCTCCGTGATTTCGTAGGCTTGAAAACGATTGTGCATTCCTCAAATCTCGAGGCTATCTGATTGGTGACTGGAATCGTGATTCGTGATGCGGACGTGCGGAGACCACGTGTCATCGTGAAAAATGTGCTCCTGCGTTCGGGTCCCATGTCCCATTCACATAATACTATGATTTATGATTAGGATAAATGATGAGTGATAAGTACAGTAGAAACATATGAAAGACTTACGGGTAGTTTCACGAGAGCATATTTCATCGGGAAATGGATTCTCTTCTTCTACGTTCATTCTTGCGCGTAAGCCTCGGGACTCGGGACTCGGGGACGTATGCGTCTGCGTAGCGATAGCTCCTAGCTCCGATTCTTCGATGTTCGATGCCATCGCACATCGCACGATGGCACGAGGTCAGCTCTTACCTGATACCTGAGGTAAGAGCTGATGGAGGTGAGTTACCGCCTCCGAGTCCTCTGACCTCCGACGACCTCCGACCTGCCTCCGACGACCTCCGACTCCGACCGAGTTTTGAACTTCGTCCGCCTCGTTGAACGATACACGCGCAACGTTCCAAATTTGAAATCAAACCCTCCTCCTCTACACTCCACACTTCGCAGTTCGCAGCCGCGGCGGATTTTCGAGATTTCTGGAGAGCATCTCTTATGAAATAGGAGGGAAGATGGAACTCATAGTCACATGCCCATGACCCATGACATGACTAATGAGGAGGAGGAGGTAAGAGAACATATGACTTATGAGCTAGTTTCATTCAGGTATTTACCACACTTTTTAGTCTCCGTCCCCACTCCCCATTCCGTATTCCGTGGTCGCCACATCCACATCGCCCCATCCACATCGCCACATCCACATCGCCACATCCACATCGTCACATCCACATCGCCACATCCACATCGCCACATCCACATCGCCACATACGAATAAGGACGCAACATTTCGGATCGGCCCCCGGGCCCCCGGGTCTCTCCTAGAACTAGATTCCAGAAATGACAATTGCAATCGCATCAGAATCAGAAAGGACAAATAATAATTAGCACCCGAAATAAATCCAGGGCTGGGAGCTGGGACCTTGTCAGCGTCAGAGTGTCAGTGACACCTGATCACTGACCCTGACAATTGACAGGACGATCCATGGGAAAAATCATCATCATCATCATCATCGATTCATAATAGGTCGAACCATCAGTCTCCCGACTCCCGATCCCCTGATCCTGATTCCTGATCCTGATGATTCCGCTAGTCGAAATCGCTAGCAGGAGTATCTTGAGAGTGAGAGATCCTGAATCCCGCCCCCGAACACATAGCGCGCTGCCTAGCTTCGCGCACTGAAAAAATGTGGCTCCGGGGAGCGGAGGTTCGACTCCGCAGTCCAGCGGGTCGAATAATAAGCTCATCGGTGTCTGCTTTGCGGCAAAGGGTGAGGCTGTCGATCAAATCATGGCCGGCATCCGCAATACCTCGTGGGACAGTTTGAAGTTTCGAAGCTGTAGGTTTCCAGACCTCACACTCAGCTGAGAGTCGGAACATTAGAGGGAACCGCGGCAGGTCACGGGAAGATATTTCTCGCGCCCGCTTTGGTCCAGGGTTCTTGCATCACTGGCCTAGGCCATTCCTCCTCGAGAAAATCGTTCACCCTAACTTGCCACAGGTGCCCTTGGAGCACACTCACCACGCAACACGAGACTGATGGGAATTTCCAGCCTAGCCGGCCCTTGGAGGATTTGAGGGATGCATTCGAGCTCCTCGAACGTGAAAACCACCTCCGTGGTAATTTTTGATTAGTAGGACGGGTGCAGCGGAAACTCATTTGGGTCCCATCGGCCCAAAGATGAGATGCTTGAGCGGCATCTCATCTTGAGATGAGATCGCGGATCGCGATGGAAGATACGGTCGTTCTGACAACCGACGGTACGTACACCGGGAAATTTATGTCACTCTTCTGGAATCTTGACCTGGCCATTCGAATACAATTTTATTCAGAAATTCTACATCATCCGAGTAGATGTAGTTCACGCCGAAACACAAGAACTGTGCTCTCGGCCTTCGGTCCTGCCACCCGGGTCGTGTTCATTCCATAAGGTGCTTCTAATATACGGCGGATCGGGCGGCTGATTGACTGAGTAGTGAGTCGCAAAACTGAGGATATTTGATTCAAAAAGTCCGACAATTCAGGAGACGGGCTCCTTCACTGAAAACCGCGAGAGGCTCGAATCTGCAGCTTCTGACAGATATTTACGAATCTGAGAAGGGTTGGCATGTATCCTCCCCAGGTTAGCACCCTCCTCGATGTCCTACACTACAGTCGAATTTACGCTCTATCGGATGCGCTCAATATTGGTCTGTTCCATGCAGAGAATAACGATTCTCCGAATCCGTTTGGAGACGGGTGGAAAAAAACGGCCCGTTGTAACGCCCAGTCTTTGCCATTTAAACGCTCTTCAAGCTTATTTCTGATAATATCGCCCTGACATCTCTGACGATAACGATGTTCAGTGTTTTCGACGATCACGATAACGATGTTATCTGGATATGCGATATGCCCAAGCGACTCAGTCTCCGATGATAATGGAATTGAAATTGTTGTCGTCGTTTGCGAGAGGATATGCCTCCAAAACGAGGCTCACTCGATCGCTTGAGTCGACGAGCCGTCTAATGCAAAATATCAATAGCTTCTGAGACGGATCATCAAAAAAAGATGCGATTAGAACAGCGTTTCCCAACCGGGGGTACAAGTACCCCTGGGGGTACCAGGAGCTCTCCCGAGGGGTACCGGAAGCCATCAGGATTTTTTTCGGCAGAAGATAGATAAGATGGGTAAGAGCTATCGACCGCGCCAAAGACCCCTGGCCCTGGATGGACCAACTGCTGCATGACCGGCAACAGCAAAAATCTCACTAGCGGGTGTGATATGTACATACGTTTAAACGGGACGAATAGTTGATGGCTTGGTAGATCTTGAAATATTGTGCAGTTTCCAAAGAGATAAGTTGAGAAATGAATGTAGAGAATCGTGATGTTGTGGATCAGCTTGTTTTTTCTTTCAAGCTTAAATTTCGGTTTCCTAGGGGTAGGGGGTACCGGAGGGGGTACCGGAGACACTCGACCAACCTCAGGGGGTACTCGGGACCAGAAAGGTTGGGAAACGCTGGATTAGAACAAGACAGACGGAGGCATTCGGTAGAACGTTTGAATGAAACTGAGGAACGGCGAAACTCTACGCTGGAAAATGATGTTATTCAGCACTCTTTGTCTCGGTCTGCGGTCTCGGGAAACCTTGGAGCGAAGGATGGTAAGATTAGAAGAAAACCAACGGCGCTCTTCACAAGTACGTTTCGTTGAGAGCGAGGATGGGAGGTCGGTAAGATTGCTACACAACTGACTGCGAAACCGTCGCTCGAGAGGGCAGGCGCGACAGGATCTGAATCGCGCAGCATTTGAGTATGATCCTGCTTCTGATTATAGTACGCATACTGGCGTTAAAATCGGCGAGATGACTACTATATGCAAGTTTTGTCGTGCATTCCAATTCACGAACGAAAGTCCAGGAATGTGTTGTGTGGGGGGAAGGTCAAGCTATTTGAGTTACACCCACCTCTCGAGCCGTTATCAACTCTAATGGGCGAGAAAACGGAGAAACCGCAGCACTTTTTAGCCAACATTCGCCTGTACAATTCATGTTTCTAAATGACATCATTTGGTGCGACGGGAATTATTCGGGAGTCCTTCATACCGACCTTCAAAATCCAAGGTCAGGTGTATCACCGACATGGATCACTCTTGCCATTGCCAGAGACCGATCATCAGTTCCCCCAAATCTGTTTTATGGGTAACGTCGAGGAACAGGTCGATCAACGATGTCGCATCCACACTGGTACAGATAGAGAAATCGTTGCTTTCTTACAGAAGCTTTTCCATCAGCACAGCACGATGGTGAAGCTCTTCATGATAGCTTTGGAGCGCATGCCACCTGATGATTATGTAGTTGTCATAGGAGCGGACAAGACGCCGGCTGGGGAACACGAAAAGCGATTCAATGCTCCCACAATCAATGGAGTAGCAATCGTGATTGTCGGTGAAGAATTTAAGTCCGGTGACATAATCCTCCATCGCAGAAATGGTGACCTTCAAAGAGTCTCCGAGACACATCAGTCCCACGACGCTTTACAGTACCCGATTCTCTTCTGGCAAGGGGATGATGGATATTATTTCAACATTAAGATGAGAAACCCGGGGACGGGTGAAGAGACCGACAAGAAGGTCAGTGCTATGAATTACTGTTCATATCGATTGATGATCCGCCAGAATGAGGACAAACATATATTGAGATGCAGACAATTATTTAATCAATATGTTGTTGATATGTTTGCGAAGATTGAAAGCGAACGATTAGTATTCATCCGTTTGAATCAAACCAAGTTACGGTCAGAGTAGTACGTTTATCTTCGTGATGCGATAGCTCCTGATGGGAGTGTGAACCCCAATCAGCTCGGATGTCCGGTCTTTCTTCCGGCAACTTTCACGAGAAGTTCACGTCATATGCATGAATACGCGCAGGATGCGTTGATCTACCTGGAACAAGATCTCGCCGAGTGGTCAGATAAGGAGGGTCACTCGTATGAGTTCACATCGCTAACAATTAGCAAATAAATTCGATAAGAGTCGACAATCCCTTGCGATGAGAATATTTGAGAAATCGTTATTCAAGAGTTGGTGACCGTAACTCGCGCTAGTTCTGAGTATATTAAGCTCAGGGACAATCTGAAGAACGGTCGAACATAGAGTCGTCAGATTTCAGAAAATTACAATCTCTTCCCCTTGGAGTCGATGTCCCATGGTTTCTACTTCGACATTCTAGCCGCCCAAGAGACGGTGCAAGTTCAACTTAAGCATCAGTCGCAACACGACATCTATCAATAAGAAGATATCTTCGGCGCAGTCGACCGGAACTTCACGGAAAGACCTCTCGGCGCAGTCAAGCATCGACTGTACGAGAGGAACCATGACCTGTTTGCTTAAGCAGACACCTTTATCGCAAAGATCTGGTTTCACACTTGGGTCATTGAACTCGATATCCATTATGTGCCTTGTGGTTTGGTATAGAAACTTCCAATGAGAATTATTTTTCGGCGGGCAATTCACCCTCGTCGCTTTGTAGTTGAAAACGACCGACGTCCACGTACAGCACATCGTCCACCCGGCGTCAATCAGAAGTGTGACATTCTTCGCGAGAGGAACTTTGGATTTGACCAGTATACTGTGACTACATTTCTCAACGAAGAGTCTGGCCGTGTGTACTATCCGCAGTTTTTGCTGCCTCGTCACAGGGTTGAAATTCATTCGGCAGGCATCGAATTTCGTCGGAGCAACGGCCCCACCAGCCCTCATCATGGAATGCGATGCGAACACTACGACGAGAATCATGAAGAACATCTCCTCCCATCAGGAGCGGCGTCACAAATGAGTCTCAAAGCCTGGGTGCAGCGTTTCCAAGGTGTTCGGGCAGGTGCAAATATATTCGTCCATGCCCGAGGTCTCCGGGAGTATGACCTTCCGATTGTTAGTTCTTCTGTCACATCAATCAATGTCCGATCTTTTGTGTTATACCGCATGCATTGAATCCTGTAGAATGAACTGCTCCCCACAGCACACACGCAGCCGGTCCAATCACGCGTCCGGAACCATGCGTTCCTCGCTGATGATCAATTTCGAGAGTGAAAGGTCCAGCGAGTGAATTTGTTTAGAGCTACGGGAGGAGGTTCCATGGAAAATATAAGCGCGCCCAATGATTGCACGAGGAGGTTTGCATCGATATCTCCTGAATTCTATCCTGCATAACGGCGTTTACGATAGATAAAGTAGGAACAGCTAGTCCCGCCACGAAAAATTCATCAGACCGAAACATGTATCCGCGAGCATGCTCCTCATTTTCCACCCTCAATATTCAGGCACGCAGGTTCTTTCTTGACTTATCGAGCGATAATTCCCTGACCACTAAGATTCGGCCGAAGTCCTCCCGGCCTAATCGCTGTTTCGCTAGGCGAATCTGGAGATGAGTTCAGAAATTATTTCTGATGGAATTATCGCCAATGACCCGGGAATCCGCGAGGAACGAATTTCCCGGGGAGGACGGCTCTCGATCGGAGCCCTCATGTCATGTTCCGGAGCTGAGCCCTAAGAATGAAGCAAAGCCGAGATAGCTGCTTGCTTGTTCAAGACTTCTCGGACTCGACATGTTCGCATGTGACCCGCCGTTCCGCTCTGTTCCTCGATGTTGTATACTGTGTTTGCGGCCGAACGAAGACTCGTCGAAGCTCAATTAACGAAGCAGTGTCTATGAGCTTGCCATCAGGCGTATCACTGTTCACCGGAGCGCGTCGTGTATTATGGAGGGGGTTGACCTCCATTCGTTGAGTGAATTCGTAAGAACTAATTTCGGGGATAGCATCTTCCTTCTATATTGCTCAGAATTATCCTACCAGTGTTGGTGTAGACTCCAGGCATCGCAAGCTAAAGAGGCGACGCGATGATGACCCGGTGCACAATGGCCACCTGTATGTCGGAGCCTGCGCCTCGAGGCGCAGTTCCCTGTCTCGGCCCTGTGAGCATGGACCCGCCTCAAGCAGCTGCAGAAACAATGCTTCCTCCTTGCAAGATCTTCCTCCGGTGTATGCGCCATTTGTTGGTCTCCTCGGCGAGTACCCTGAGGAATATCGTCGCAAGGAAAGAGGTTTTGACTGCCATACAGCTGTCGATATGCAGTTCCGGATATTACCGTAGAATATGGGTGAACGGGGGAAATCAGACGCGAAATCACGGACGGACGCAGACTTGTAGACGGTGGGGGACATAAGGGGGCGGGGGTTATTGTTGCTCCACGTCAGGATATGGATATGATATATATGTGTGTATATGCACCATGTCTCGATAAGGTGTGTGTCTCGCTCTCAGCGATAGACATCAGCCGCATCAATCGATATCGAAATTTCGGGATCACGAATCGAAATTTTTTAGCTTCTGAAGCTCGGCCTCCGGGAGATTGATGAGATCCCTTTCGGACGTCCGCTCGCATTTGCACAGAGTAGAGCCGACGGACATCAGCCTGGGATGAAAGGTCAAACCAAGTGAAACCTGTCAATGAGCTTTGATTGAAGACAGCAAGCCCGCCTCAATGTGCAAGACGCGCGACGGACAAGCGAAAGTGAAGAGAGCTGCTCACAGAGCTCGGAATGCCCGTCTCCTGTCCGAGCTGTCATTCGTGCAAAAGCATTTCATGTGGCAAGATGCGTATACTCGTCCTGGTACTCATGGGGTTATTCGCGACGGCAGCCCTACCTCCTCCTTCGCAGCATCGGATGAGTCCGATCCCTGTGGCTTCATGAATCGCCTTACACGGCGGAGAAACGCGTACGTCATACGCTTGGCGGAATCTCTACGCCCGAAATCCGCTTACAGCATATTCGGAAGGGGTAAGGCATTCGACGGGGAGAGTATTTGTATGCTGCCATTATCCGCCCCAATGCTCGTCAATTTTCGGGCGACAGAACCGAATTGGGTGAGCGGGTATCCCCAGTTGCCGATTTCCACCTAAGGGTTTCGGAGAAGTCCCCGCTCAACACGGGGGACGACTCGTCAGTTCTCGCCGAGCACTGTGTGAACGGTGAGTGCTACACGGGAGCAATCATTTTCTCGCTGTCATTGGGAGGTCCGGAGCGCGTCCATGCCGAAAATATACCCGATCTTATCGAGTCGAACGACGGAATCGTAGTGAATTCGGGACTCCGGCGTCATTCCGAAGGTTAGGTTCGAATATCGGACGTCGTGGATCGAGGCTACAGTTTTCTCAAGAATTCCAAGGGAAGCTGTGAATCCGGACCTCTGGCACATGAACAGAAATGATAGGACGTATCTCTGATTCTCTATGATTTTCTGGTCAAGCCGTAATGCGACTTATCCGATCGGCATCTGAGATGAAATCAGAATCATGGGATCGTAGAAGCGGACGAGCCTCTCGAGGAAGATGACAGATCTGTGGGCCCCGTAACTATCAGGAGTGTCCTCCGCGTTTGGAGCCAGATCAGAGGTTCGGGAATTCGCGCTCGCACATGCTACTCGCTGAAACATATAAATGCATCCATGATATTCTCGAGAAACGTTCCTGTAAACCTCGGTGCCTTCCATATGCGTGACGTCACTTTCTCTCCTAGGCCACACCTGTCCATATGCTGAGAGCATACGTCGGCGTCGCGTCGTACTCACCGTCCGTCTCCCGGAGATTGCGTTCCAAGCTTCACATAGAAAACGCGGTCTCAGGTATGTAAATTCCGAGTAGAGGCAACATTTGGAAGTACTGGGCTTCGAGCTGCTCTGATGGACAACCCGATATTTTTACTCCGAGCGGTGGATGAGGAAGATCGACACAGTAGATAAAGATCAGGAACTGAAGCTGTATGGCCCTATGCTACCCAAAGTTCCGGAAATAATTTCGAGGCGACGCCTCCGATTCCGAGTTTGCGCCCTTCACGGATATGTCTAGAGTTCGGAACTCGTCTCGGAAGTCGCCAAGAGTCACAAGGCAATCTATTCCTTTTACAGATCCCTCAAGCTCCGATCTTGGCATTGGAAAGTTAGAGGCCTGAAGTGCGCGAAATCTCCTTAATGTTCAGATCCAGCGCGTGCCCTGGATTTTTTCTCTCGGGGAAGGGGGTTAAGGTCATTGACTTGGTCGGGGCCAACCACCGATGATGATGCGCCCCATCATGGAGCCCCATCATGGAGCTTCATGGGCTGAGGGGATATCCCGGGGGGGAAGGGGAAGGAGAGAGGGCGGCATGGCCCCTCCCATGCACGCCACTGATTCAGATACCCTGCGAAAGCTTGCAATCGGTCTCACCGGGCTCCACTTGAATCGGGTACGGTGAAATCTACTTACAACGGAACTTGCGGGGCAGGGAATATATGTACCGTATTTCTTCTAATAGACGGGCACCTTCTAATAAACGGGCACCTTCTAATAAACGGGCACCCCCCGGGCTGACTGAAAAATAAACGGGCACCTTCTAATAGACGGGCACCTTCTAATAAACGGGCACCCCTAACCCGATGGAGCCATCCCGTCCGGCTTTTCTCGACTTCTTGTCGCTCGAGATGCGAAACTGAGGTAGATGATAGCCTTGAAGTTCGCTTCGAGGATGATAACGACGAATAATTTAAGTGTAGTTCATGAACGTATGTATATATGGCGATAAGTGGAACGAAAAAGTAGACGAATCGAGGGTCCTGTCTTCCTTTCGGGCTTGGTGGAATCCAGCAAGATTGAAAATAAACGGGCACCTTCTGATAAACGGGCACCTTCTAATAAACGGGCACCCCCCGGGGGGATTGAAAAATAGACGGGCATGCCCGTCTATTAGAAGAAATACGGTATGTTCGTCGTCACGAATGTCTTCCATCGTTACCTCATTCGCGAGCCAGCAGAGTAGAGGAAAAAGAAGTGTTCGCTCTACTGGAGATTCGTTGTGAAGACATTGCACTGTATTCATTATTGATTTGTCCGTTTGCAGCCTACTAGACCTATCGATCTCCTCTTCATCCTGGGTGAGGAGGCGAGTCGGGTGGCAGCGGGCACTATCGGCTAGAGGTTCCGCGTG